ATATCCACTGATTATTGATACGCTTGAGTGGCTGTTCTTCGACACTTCCTCTCTTCTTCCCATGTTCCTCTTTCCAAAGATGCACAGTTTCCATAACAAAGCAAAACAAGATTTGAAGGGGGAGGGTTCCTTCTTTGGATACAGGCATTCTGGGCGAGGTGGCCAAGAGAATACCTGTGGTACTGCTGTGACTTTTTCAAACTTAGTAAAGGTAAAGGGACCCCTGACCATTAGGTATGGTCGTGGCCGACTCTGGGGTTGCGACGCTCATCTCGCTGAGGGAGCCGGCGTACAGCTTCCGGGTCATGTGGCCAGCATGACTAAGCCGCTTCTGGCGAACCAGAGCAGCGCGCAGAAACGCTGTTTACCTTCCCGCCGGAGAGGTACCTATTTATCTACTTGCACTTTGACGTGCTTTCGAACTGCTAGGTTGGCAGGAGCAGGGACCGAGCAACGGGAGCTCACCCCCTTGCGGGGATTTGAACTGCTGACCTTCTGGTCCGCAAGTCCTAGGCTCTGTGGTTTAACCCACAGCGCCACCCGCATTTCAAACTTAGAATCTTTTTACAGCTTTTAGATTTGTTTTTAAAAGCCTTTCTATGGTCCGTGGCAAACCTCGCCCAGAACGCCTGGACCCCGTTTCTCAGAGAGAGGCAAGGAAGAGAAGGTGGCAGAGAAGGCACCTGTGCTGCTACAGATAATGGAATAGCTCTCCACTCCAAAAATGGGGAGGGGAAAGAGGGATGGGGGGGAAAGAGAGGAGGATAAGAAATGGGATGGAAGGAAGAGAATAGCTGTGTTGCTGCTATTACCACAAAGAGGAGTCTATGGCACAATCTCTTGCGCCAGCCCTGAACCTCAGAAATAAAGGGTTAGCAAAAGATTGACCGTTCCAGAGAATTAAAAAAGAGAGAGGTGTATTTACTACTGTTCAATGACTGGGAGTCAGAAATCCTTGCCTTTCAATCAGCCAGAAGTTTACTAGTAGAAACTATTCTACCTTGTGGCCACTGATGCCCAAGGCAAACTGTACACCTGTTCTGCCCTACCCAATTCCATTGCTTATTCCACATGCCACCCATATTAAAAATGCAACACTGGTTAAAACGCTTTTAACCAGTTATAGACATCAGTCCACCTGCCTCACTACACCATGTCAACAAGCTGTCCTTGAATCTTTTTTTAATAAAATTCAGCGTATGCGCCACAGAGTTTTGAAATAAATTTAGGGATGGGCTGATCAGACTATTTCAGGCCCATGTCAGTTTCTTATAGATTCATTCATAAATCTGTTTCATCCTGTTATTACAGTATTTTGCAACCATGCATTAAACAAGAAAGTACAGTTCATATTAAAATCTGCAACGATCCAATTCCTCAACCACCCCCAAGCACATTTCCTTGCAATGGATGCAAAATTTAGTAGTGTTACAAAGTTCCTCTTGCAATGGTTTCTTTATGATAACCCCTAAAAGCTGCTAATTTAGCTTACAAAGTTTATACCTTCATTTCTCAGGAACTAGAAAACATAGCAATAGATATGCCACTTTTTCTTACATGGTTATTCATTCTTTTTTTCTTGCCGGGAAAACGGCAGGCAAGTGTCAGAGACACCTATTGGCTTTTGCCCGTGGTAACACAATTCCTTCCCTTTGCCATTTTGTGAACTTTTGGTTCTTCTTCTGCCGGCTCCTATAAATATTCAGAGCTTTTGATTCCCTCTCCAACAAAGGCTATTTCTGGTCCCCTGCCATTTTGTGGAGCTTTTGCTCTTTAGATGTGTATGTTATGTGTATTTATTTTTAGGCTGTGTCCTTCTCCATACTGTAGCACATACCTCTTCCTTCGGAAAATGAAAGGCAACAAATGGATTTCTCTCCATCTATTATCTGTACAGGCTACTGGCAAATACGCAAGTATTTTCTAAAAGGATATGCACTGAGGTTGGAGTAAAAAACTCTCTGTCATGATACTAGAACTGGGGTCCATCCAACAAAACTGAATGCTGAAACTTAATTCAGGGCAGACAAAACAAAGTACTTCTTTATATAATACTTAAACTATGGAATTCAGTGCCGCAAGAGGTAGCGATGGCGGCCACCAACCGAGATGGCTTTAAGATGAATTGACAAATTCATGGAGGTAATGGCTTCTAACCATGGTGGCCAAGAATCAGTTCCAGTATGCCTCTTCTTTGAACACCCAGTTGCTGGGGAGTTCAAGTGGGAAGCAGAGCTGTCAACTTTTCCCCTTTTCTTGCGGGGAATCCTATTCGAAATAAGGGAATTTCCCTTAAGAAAAGTTGACAGCTATGGTGGGAAGAGCGTTGCTGCATTCCTGTCCCTGCTTGCAAACTTTCTGTAGGCATCTGATTGGCCACTGAGAGATTAGGATGCTGGACTAGATGGGGCTTTGGTCTGATCCAGGAGGGCTCTCCTAAGGAGATTTACATTGCTAAGAGAGAAAGGATCGGTATATTTAATTGCTAAAGAGAAGTGCAATTTTTATAAATATATGGAAAGGCCTCAAACCACACATTATTATACAGATAACGGGAGTCTGGATATGTGCTTTCCCCCTAATTCATAGAAACACACTGTTAAGTTGTGGGCGAACATATTCAGATGACACAGCGATTCTTCCAAAGCAGCTCTTTATTTGCAAGCTGGAACAGAACTGAACTGAAGAACTCAGTCAGCCTTCTTATATAGAGCTCCAAAACAATGTAACTGTAGCAACTTTCTAAAACTATCCAATCACTGAACGTCACTTTCGATCCTTCATTTGCATAACTATCTACAGTATCCCCTGCTGGCCCAGTACACAATCAATCCGAGACCAGGGAGAAGAGTCGGTGGAAGAAGATTGGAAGAAATTTAAAGACTACTTACAGAAATATTGTAAAATTAATGAATGTTAAAATGATGTTGGATGAAAACTTTTAGCTATAATGCTATAAGGAGTATGAAAAAAATGGGTTATTAACAGTTAAAAGTTAATGTTACACATTATTTCAAGATTAAAGATTAGGATAAACAAAGAGGGGAAGGATTTGCTGAACTAACAAATTGAACTGGAATACAAAAAGGGAGGTGTGAGGAGGTCCGGGAAATAAGCAAATGAAAGAAAGTGATGGAAAGATGGAATTGTTTTTTATCTATTTTACTTTGTATTTTTCTTTTTTCTTTTTTCATTTTGTAAAATTCTAATAAATATCTGTTAAAAAACAACATAACACACACAATCATTCCCCTCGCACCAGATATTATAAAGTTGTATCATAATGACTTCTGCACCTGCAGAATCCACCCACCCCCACCGTTACACACTAGTTTTTAAAAATAAGGAAGGAAATGGGGGGGGGGGGAATCGTCATTCTGCTTAAGATGTGATCCTTCTTCCTTGGAAGTAAATCCTACTGAGATCAACAGGAATTTACTTTTCAGGAACGTGTTCAGGATTGGGTTTTAAGGAAGCAATCTTCCAAAATTAAATGTACTGCTGTGGTATTGGCACTTTCCATTCATTCTTTGGGGGAATTAATTATTTGGGACCGCATGAAAGACGAATAGAGTTTCCATAATGAGTTTAATGCCCAAGAGATGCTAAGACCTGCATTCTGATTACTCGCTTTCCTGCCTTATCTTATGACCTGGACTTTATGCAGCCTGAAGGGAGCTCAGCATGATTAACAGGTTTGGTCTGATATAAGCAGCTGCCCATGCTAAACATTCATGGCATACAAGGAATGCAGTCACTATCTTTCCTTTCTACTCCTCCTCCTCCTCCTCCTCCTTTGCCTTTTTAAATTCGTTGGCTGACCCGCTGTCAAATAACCCCATGCAGCAATAATTCATTGAACTGAACTGAAAATTGCACAAAATTACAGTAGATTTACAGATACTGCAGGACGCGGCAAGACATTTCTCTACCCTGAAAAGTTTTGCCTATGGTGATTCATGGCCATTGAAGAATGCACATATGAAACTGGATGCATGAGAGTGTTTATTTTCTCTGTAAACCTTATAAAAGACATAAGCAGGCAGGACAGTACAGTGATACCTCGGGTTACAATACGCTTCAGGTTACATACACTTCAGCTTAAGATTTCCGCTAACCCAGAAATAGTACCTCAGGTTAAGAACTTTGCTTGAGGATGAGGACAGAAATTTGTGCTCCGGGAGGCTGTGTCCAGGGCAGCAGGAGGGCCTGCATTATGCTAAAGTGGTGCTCAGGTTAAGAACTCAGTTTCAGGTTAAGAACGGACCTCTGTAGAGAGAACGAATCCAAGTACTGTAACCACCGATGGTACCAACTGTATTCTCAAAGAGCGTGCAGGTTTGATTTCTTCTGGTTTTCCACTTTCAATGCAGCCTCAGGGCCGCGCTCCCACCCATGAGCCGAAGGGAGGGTGTACCGCACTCAGGGTGGCAGGCTGCCCCGAGGGCCAGCATATTCCTAGATGTACTTAATTCGTTCCAGCAGGGCTGTTCTGTAACTCTGAAAGTGTTTTCTGAACCTGAAGCACCACTTTTAGCTAATGGGGCCTCCTGTACTGCCGCCACCGCTGGAGCACAATTTCGGAAGGCAAAGTTCTAACGCCGCAGGTAATATATTTCTGGAGTTAGTGAAGTCTGTAACCTGAAGCGTATGTAAACCGGGGAAGCGTATGTACCACCGAATAGGTACCACTGTATATCTTCACCCACCCTGTCTTCCCTGATGGGAAGGGGACGCACCTTGGGGCCAAAATGTCTCTGTGCAGCCTCTTCCACTGCATCTGGAGCCTCTTCCACTGCATCTGAGGTACAGGGCAGTGGCACATGCAACTCTCCCTGGCAACCTGCTGCAGCCCCCTCACATTGCCCATGGTAGAGCTCTAGTGCCCCCCCCCGAAGTAGTGGTCCTCACCGCCTGTCCCTTCAGCAAAAAAAAGATCTCCCACTCCCCAGTGTCACTTCCACGACATTTGTGCAAAGGGGAAAGTCCAGGTCTCCTACCGTAACTGCTCCCCGGTTAGCAGGACCTCGGCCATGTGCTCCAGCTCGGTCGCTCTCTGCTAGCATGGTGCCAGGCTGCTTTCCTCCATCTCGCCACTAACCTGGCCAGGTGACACACAAGAGCCAGAAGGTTAACAGGGAGCAGATTGGGATTCTTTCCTCAGCCTCTCCAGTGCTCAAATCTGCGGCTTTGCAATCTAACCTCCCAAACACCAGTTTGCTCGTGGGTTAGGGCGTGGTGCTGATAACGTCAAGGCCGTGGGTTTGATCCCCACATGGGCCACCTTGATTATACCTGCATTGCAGGGGTTGGGCTAAATGTTCTGGGTCCCTTTCAACTCTGAGAAACCTCAACATCACCCTGAGCCCCCCTCCAGCAGCCCAATTCTGTGCCTAACCCCTCCCCTCCGTCCCTCACGGTGGCATCTTCCACTCTAAGCTTTGCGCTCTCCAGAGACCATTTCTGCCCGGCTTCAATTAAAACTTCTGTCGCCTTTGGCTCGCTGCATCTCTCTTTCACCTCCCGCCTTGAGCTCTTTCGCAACTGGCAACGCGCAAACGCGTTTTATCCTGGCTTTCACAAGTTTCCCTTTTCTCCTCGCGCGCTCCTCTCTTCTTTGCAGGAAGCGAGGAGCTGCCTCGCTCCGATCCGTCCTGCAAGCCTTGCATTCAAGCGCTCTGGGGCAGATTCCTCCCACCCCGCTTCTCCCCCCTTCATTTCACGTTGCAATAATTTTGCATGCGGCAGTTTGGGAATGTTAGCTGCGGACGGGTCGAAGGGAACGCAGCCTTTCTCCCCTCCCCTCCAATCCTGCCGCAGGGAGAAATATAAAAGCAGATTTTCTGTCTCCGGAGAATTGCATTCTTGCATCATCAGTCACGGGAGGAAAAGCCACCGCAGGCTCTCCAAGCTCAAACAGAAACTACCACCACCTACCCCGGGCTTTTCACTCACCTGGGCTGGGGGAAAGTCGTGCGTTCCTTCCGCAGGCGATCAAAAAAGATCCCCCCGCTGGCTTTCTTGTTGTGGTGTGTGACAGGCAGCTGGCGAGGCAGACACGTGGTTGCAGCAGAGGCGATCCAGCCGAGGCACCAGCGACCCCCTCCGTCCGGCACTGGCTGGGACCAGGGGCTGCTTGCGCAAAGCGTGCGCTCAATGTCAGCTGCGGCGCAGGATGATCCAGTTCAGGGCAAGGGCGGCGGCGGCGGCGGAGGGGGGCTGGGAAGGCTTGAAAGGGGAGGTGGAGAGAGAGAGAGAAGGGCTCCCCTCTTCATTTACCACCAGCGACCTTTCACAAGATTGCAGAGCGAGCTAGCGAAATGGAGAGGCGGCGCTTCTTTTTGCGCGCCTGCCTGCTTGCTGAACAGGGAAGCAACTCCAGCTGCTTGGCTCCCCCCCCCTCCCTTTCCCCCCCTCGACTTAACTGAGTTCTTCCTGTTCTTCTTCCTTCCACAACAGCTGGGGGGGGGGAGGAGGAGAGAAAAATGGGTCAAAGGGGGATCGCGGCCGATTAAGAAGCTGCGCTGCGTTTCTTCTTCCTAAGAATAAGTAACAGAAAGGCAATCGGGGCTCCGCCAGCCAGCCAGCCAAGTGCGGTGGTGCAGAATGGGAGATCATGAGCTGGCAAGGTCCAGGCCATAGCTGTCAACCTTCCCTTTCCCCCCGGGAAATTCCCTTATTCCAGCGCCGTTTCCCGCTGCTATCCCGGATTGTTAGATATCGTAGACTGTCCCTGGGACAGGTGAGGCTACTTATCCCTTATTTTCGAGGCTGATCCCTTATTTTTCAAATCTGAAAGTTGACA